AAACTTGCCGAAGTTTTTCCTTAAGCTACCCAAGTTAATATCTATGGAGGGGAGATTTAATTGAACATTGGTGATTAGACATGTCACTGGGAAATTCAGCAAGCCGTTGCTGGACAATAGTTACAACAAGGCAACACTTTGTCAGTTAAATCTTTAGGATTCAGAGGGTATCGACTCAGTGCCTGAGGTCTCTTTCCTCTCAAAGCAATTTTTTTTTCGTGATGCATATGCCTTAAATCCCATCCTCTTTTTGAAATGTGTGTGTATGTCTTTCTATATCTGATAAGAAAAAGAGATAACGGTTACCTGTCTAAAAAAGGCATCAGAAGATAGTCGTGAACCACAAAATCCAAGGCCCAGGGTATAATTATTAACACCGCCAAAAATTTAGCCTGCAAAATGGATGAATTTGACTTACGAAATTAGTCCCTTAACAAAAAGGAGAAGATCCAAATATGAGACAGAAAAATATCAATATCTAAAGGACAGACGCAGGCTGGCTGACAGAAAATTACACTCAAACCATGTAATGTAGTTTTGTTGCATGTTGTAGTAAGGTTAAAAACAGAAACACCAATGCAATATTGCATGCTTTGATTTGATAGCTCCTATATTAAAGGTAGAATGTCTCATGTTCATAGTGCACAAACACGGGTTCCTATATCACAAAAGCAAATGCAAAAAGAAAGAGAATCACAATTGCGTGTTATTGTGATCACTATACTAGTGATTACAGTTTCGGACTCAGCCCTAATTGTAATTGTTATTGTACAGAGCAATCTTATCTTTTAGATAGGCTCTCTCCATTATCCTAGTGATTATTAGGAAAGAACTACATTTCTTCAACTAGATTGTTTCCTTTGAATACAATCAATGGAAAATATTTATTACCTTTTGGTTTCCACCATAATTTAATTATTTAAATTGACTTAACAGGAGGAGTTATTATTGAAAGAGATGCTTTGATACATTGAAGAATTTTGTATACTCGAGCAAAGGAAATGAAAGGAAATAAAAATAAAAACCCACAGTTGTGAAGTGAAGCAAAGAAAATGAAGAATTTTGTTGACAGACATGAGCACTTACCGAATTGAGTGAGGCATAGCGGAAAACACGGTCTTCATAGAGCATGTCGTCGTCGTCGTCATCTTCCTTTCTAAGAACGAAATCAGTGAGAGAGTAAAGCAAGCCCTTTTCTTGAGTAGGATCCGACTGCACAGCTTCCCAGGAAGTAGAATTAGAATCCGCAAGCCAGTCCTCCCACTTGCGATTCTCCTCGTTCGTCATATCTTGCTGTGCTTCCCTCAGCTCCACGATTGCTTCAGCCCTCGTCTTCCACGCCTCAAATTTCTCACCTTCATCAGAGCCGTCCATCTCCAAGTCATCCTCCGCCTCCACCAGCATGTCATCCTCCTTCAAACCAAGCCAATTGCCATCCTCGTCGAAAAAGAATCTCTGCCACCAGCTCCTTTCCCTTTTTCGTTTCCCGGCATTTGGGATGAACCCGGCGGCAAACCTCCGTCTTGTATCGCCCAGTTGAGAAACTAATGTCGACGAATTTCTGTGCAGATAAAAGGAGCTCCGCCGCAGCTTCGGGTTATTAAAGATAAAGTTTTTGCATAAGACCATGGAGGACATGATTAGTATGAGCCCACATTTTTCAGCTTCTCAAAGCAGAAATGGAATTCAAACATGAACATAAGTGGAAGTAAATAAGAGAGAGCATGAAGAACAAGAGGTGATGGTTGGTAAAGAGATATTGAGGGAAAGAGGATAACGGTTTAGTCATTCCTTATATTTATGAGTTCCGCTAATATTAACAATACAAATATTTTTTTTATTTTTTCACATTATTATTATTATTTGGTTGCCAAAATTAAAAAGAGTATGGGGAAAATCACAAACACAGTTACTTTAGATGTTTGAACCCGGACCATTTGGGAGCACACCAAAGACTTGAGTAAATCTATTTAACATTCCATTGGTTATTTTTTCACTTTATTCAAATTAACATAAAATCCTCATATACTGTTTTTAAATAAAAATAATATAGACTTGATTTATAAAAGCCAATGCGAATGTATTCAATGTATCATATAATTTGGGAGGTCTTGAACAAGACTCTTGAATCTTGATTGTTTGTAAACTTTGTATCAGGCTTGATTTATAAAAATTGCAAGATTTCTGAATTTTTGCAGGATTTTTTACGATATCAACATTGATACCAAATCATACTGATCCCGTTTGGGTCCGATATGTTTGAACGTATTCTCAAAAACTCACATCCCGTGTCATCCCATCCCAATTCCCCTATCCGGGACAGACCCCAGGATGACCTACATCCTGTATCATCTCGTACCGTGCCTTCCCCTACTAGTTAGAAAGGAGAAGAGTGTTTTGTCAAGTATCATGAGGTTCGAAACCTGAGATATTAAGACCTTTTTTTTCCAATAGGCTATATACCTAAATATATTTTGAGATTGTCTATTTAAGCCCCACACTTCTCTTAGTTCACCCCAACTTTTAATTTAAATTTTCACAATTTCTAAGAAAACCCCACTATCTTCCTAAAATACCCTTAAATACACCCCAAGCTGCAAAAATAAGAAATAAAAGAGATTTTTTATTTATACCCCACAATTTTCTTTGTTCACCCCAATACTCAAATCATTAAAAAAAATTTGTAGTATACATGAGATTTTGTTGTTTTCACAATCTGTTTTTATCATGTCATTAGATCATATGAGACATTGTTAGTTTGTTTGGTTTCGTTTTATGATGACACTAAAAACCAATGACCACAACATCTTCTTTTATTTTTTTACCCAACGGAAAAGTGACATTTAGCCTATTGAGATGATATGATATAATGAAGTCATTTGCTATTTGAGAACATTGCTATAGTAAAAATGGCATTTAAGATGGTAATCGTTATATACTTTTCTTTCTCCATAATCTTTTGTAACATCAAAACAAAAGCATACCTATATTTTATAGGAGATAAACAGGAAAGATAATGAAGGTGTAACCTGATAAAACTTTATAAAAGTTTACAAAACCCAATAGGTCATAAAACTATTGTGACTAAACATCTAATAGTAAGGGATCAATATACATCAAGATGTACATCAAATGAACCGATAAGCTCTTTCCAATTGTCAATGCAATCTCGATATGGACTATACCAATCCAATGCTTTGAGGTTGGAAATATCAAGCCAACAATTGATAATAGGTGGCATAGGATGGTGTGGTTGCAAGTGTAGCTGTCAAAATAAAATAAAGTTGTCAAATGTATAGTTAAAACAACAAACAAATTTCACAAGGCAAAACTGCCAGCTATAAATAGAAAAAAATTATTATAATACTTGCACAAAGTATTTTTCAACCAATTCGATGGAAATTTCCCGACATTGATATTCAGACAAAGGATGACTTTCTGTTGGTAGAAACATAAGAGATATAACATTTGAAAAATGCATCAAGACCAGATTGTAACAATTTGCAATAAGGTAACCAATTTATGGTATGAGCATCCACCTATCTTCTAAAGGGTAATCATCAAAATAATCCAAGCGATACTCAACCTCATGCTTACTTTCAACACTCTAAAAGATGAATTCATAAAGAAATTCATCATTTTTCAACTCATTCAGTAACTCCCTCCTTACTTTACGCCAAGAATTCTCCCTGTAGTCAGTCTACCTTATGTCAAAACCTTTAGTGAAAAGAATATTCCCACTAAAGCCAGACCAATTCAGATGAGTCAAGAAATTATGAAATTTTGTAAAGAAGAAATTTATGAGTTGCTCCAAAAAGGAATAATCAGGAAAAGCAAGTTAGCCTAGTCATGCCCTGCTTTCTATGTCCAAAATAACACCGAATTAGAAAGAGGAGCTCACAGATTAGTCATCAATTACAAACCCTTCAATGCTGTTCTTGAATGGATCAGATATCCCATTCCCAATAAAAGAGATATCATTAAAAGAATAGGAAATTCCGTCATCTTTTCTAAGTTCGACATGAAAAGTGGATTTTGGCAAGTTCAAATTAGAGAAAGTGATAGATACAAAACTGCATTTGTTACTCCCTTTGGTCATTACAAATGGAACATTATGCCCTTTGGCTTAAAAAATGCCTCTAGTGAATTCCAGAATATAATGAATGAAATATTCAACCCTTTCAGTGATTTTTCCATAGTTTATATTGATGATGTTCTTATTTTTTCTCAGTCAATAGAACAACATTAGAAGCGTTTACATAAGTTTCTTCAGGTAGTCAAACACAATGGTCTTGTTGTCTCTGCTAAAAAGTTAAACAATTGCAAACCAATATTAGATTCTTTGGATTCAATATTTATCAGTCACAAATTAGTCCAATAGATCGGGTCGTTCAATTTGCTAGTAAATTCCCATATCAAATCCTTGCTAAGAGTGAACTCCAAAGATTTCTAGGATCTTTTAACTATGTTTCTGACTTTTATCATAATCTAAGAACCCAATGTAAACCCTTGTTCGATAGGCTACAAAGTAATCCTCCTCCTTGGACTCCCCATCATACAGATATAGTCAAACAAATTAAAATCCATGTCCAAACCCTTCCTTGCCTTGGCATTCCTTCAGTCAACTCCTTCAAAATCATCGAAATCGACGCCTCCGAAATTGGTTACGGAGGCATTCTTAAACAAAGAGTTTCTCCAGATCAACCAGAACAACTTGTTCGTTTCCATTCTGGCATCTGGACTCAATCACAAAGTAATTATAGTACTATAAAAAATGAAATTCTATCTATTGTATTATGCATCTCAAAATTTCAAGATGATTTACTTAATCAAAAGTTTTTAGTCAGAGTCAATTGTAAAAAGTGCAAAACATGTTTTAGAAAAAGATGTTCAAAATATTGCATCAAAACATATTTTTGCACGTTAGCAAGCAATTTTGAGTGTTTTTTATTTTGATATTGAATATTTGAGAGGAAGTGAAAATAGCATTCCCGACTTTCTTACCCGGGAATTCTTACAGGGAAAGCAATGGCCGAAAAAAGATCAGATAAGCAAAAGGAGCAAACCAGCCAACCAGTCAGAACACTCTCGGCGTCCATGAATCCAGTCAAAGCCGATATTGTCCCTTTCCCTGGATATTCTCCTATCCAGATGAGTAACAGATTTACCAGTCTAGGTTCCATAGTCATCCATATCCGCCCTAATTATTAGTCAGCCCTAGTATCCAGTTATGACCCCTTTCAGGTCTCAACCCCTCCGTCAACTTAGTCAGCTATAAGCCACAGAAAATCCTCTCCCTATGTCCCCAAGTTTACTGACAAACTCTTCATCATCGAGTCATGTTACAATAATCTCTCTAGTCCCGCTAAAATTGCAAAAGCTTATTTCCCTCCTAATTTCCACTTCATCCCTCAACACTAGTCAAAATCACTTAAATACTATAGAGACATACTTCTCGAAACCAAACCCTTGAAATCCGCCCCATTAAAGATAGAAATAACCCAGAAGTTATCCTCTACCATTCCATGTACATCCACAAGATCATTAGTCAATTTGAATGGGGCAACCACCCTTATTCACTAAAAACCCTTAAATCAACCATTCAGTACAATTACTATGATTATATCAAAGCCTGGGATACCATTTTCCTACATCAAACCGAAGATTTCAGTCATTCCTGGTTTGTAAATTTTGACAGTAAATTCTGAAGCCCCTTTCCATTTTGATTTCTTTCTTGGTGGGAAAAACACGGTCCAGTCATGGATATTCTTCCCACTGACCTCCATAATTCAGTTGCTTATTTTTCCACAAAATACAATTTCAAAAATGAAGATACTTTCTTCCCAAGTCTTTAGTTTTTGTCGCTAAATACAAAGTTTCGCGGATTCTTAAGTGGTCTTATCAAGTCAATTGGGAGTCAAGGATCCTTTCCAGACAAATCTCAGTAAAATGGTGGGATAAGTTTAAGTGAGAAAGAATTATTGATCAGGTCAACGTAGAATTTCCCACAGTCAAAGTCCCTCAGAAGCCTTCAACCTCGGGCACCTCTCACTCTTCCCTCCCAATAGAAGGAAGATCAAAATCAGAAATCAAAGAATTAGCTCAAGAATTAATGATTCAAGCCTCTTAAATGGACGACGATGAAGACGCTTCTCCTCGCTCTCTTTCCTCTCAAGCCTCATCTTCCAGTCACAAAGAATCAACTCAAAAGTTCATATGGGCAGATTACCCTGATAGTCAAGACCTGTATGATCTCAATGAAGACTAATCATGCCGCTAACATATCAGACGCAAATGTCATCAAAGGCGGAGTAAGCAGAACACTACAGTCAATATTCCACGACAAGTAATAATGAAAGCAAAAGTAAAGACAAGACAAAGCGAGGATAATATTCTAAAAGCACCATGCGTCTACAATTAAAGCAAAAGTAGAAGACCTGTGCTTCCACAGTAAACGAAAGCATCCAATGTTGCCGACACTTCCTTAGTTCGGCTCTTTAAATAAGAGGCTTCTGCCTCAGTTGCAGTCAAAATGTAATTTTTAGTTTATCAGTTTCAAAGTTTTTTCAGAAATATCTCTCTGAAGAACACTTGTAAGATATGAGTGTTATGCATAAGTAAAATCTCAAGATTTTCTGTAAGTCAGCAATTTCTTATTTTCGGTTAAATTCATTAATTTTATACACTGCTATTTTTATATGCATTAATTTTATGTCATTAATTCTATGTCTCATGCATATCCCCTCCTGGTTATAGATCCCCTCATATATACCTAGATTTCGGCCAATTCTTTATATTTTATCATTATCATTTTCAGACGTACTCTATATGTTGGATGTACTCTAATTATCATATATATATATGTGCATCTCTCTCTCTCTCTCTCTCCTCTCTCTCTCTCTCTCTCTCTCTCTCTCTCTGCGTGATGCCGGATTTTGAATGGCTATTGTGTCGCCTTCCAGCGGACATTTCAGGTGAAATTGGTCCCAAAAGTTTCTTATTGACGTCCTCTACCAAATCCACCCCTTCTCCCTCCTTAAAAACCCAAGGATTTCAGACTTGATTGACAAGAAGTTTCGGCAGAAACTTCCACCGTCACTGGCGACGTTTCCGGCCATCTCCGGCCTCGCCATCAACTGGACCAGGTTCGTCTCTTCTCCCTCATGCTTTCAACTAGATCGCGCGACACCATTGGTGGCTTTCAGTGTCGTTGCGAGGGCGGGAAGTTCTGGCCAAAACCCTCACAGGTTTGGCTTCTATTCACCTAGTTCTTTCCACTTTTTGGTCGTGGTCCAATACCAAAAGTTGTTCCCCTAATTGTGTTTGACCTGGTGGTATGAGTATTGACCGGCGATTTGGAGTTTTCCGGTCGTTGGAAATTAGTCAAGGCACCCACGTGCTGCCCACGGCCAGTGGCGGCAAGTAGACCACTTTGTGGCAGCCCATTATGTTCTAAAACACTCCTCACATCGTCCTGAGCACGACGGTATGTTAGGATTTAGAATTTATTGTCGTTTGACTATCGAACGGATATTGTGCCTATTATGCGATATTGGGTTCGATAGGTTCGGATCATTAGATCGGCTCCAATTTCAAATATGTTGTTCTATATACCTCTAGGAGCGTGTAGCAACTTATGGATAAAGAATCAAAGTCCCAGATACTTCGAATCAAAGTCCCAGATACTTCGAATCAATAAGTCTAGGGTTAGGCGAAACGATCGTCGTCCGATCATGCGATTGGCTTAGATCCGACAACTCGATCGAAACCAAACTCACGGGACTTGTTTAGTAAACTTTGTTGGACCTATAAGAACTTTTAGATCAGGAATCGGAGTTCGTGGGCCCCGCAGGCCCGATTGACCAATATGGGATGTTTGACCACTCGGTTTACCGTGAGTATTCCAAGGTCGTCTCATCCTTCAAAAAGTATTAGTTTGGCCTTAAGAACTCCCCGTTAGTCTTGCACATACTTTAAATCCCAGGAATTTAGGAGTCTAAATTAAGGTTCGTTGTTGAGTACATGTGTTAATTAAGCCCGTTTACTCTCTCGAATAGGTACTCTTGCTTCGCTTATTCCAGAGGAAGAGCTCAGACCTGTAGTGAGTTGACATTGTTTTAAATGAGCATTATTTTTCCAAAATGGAATTGCATGCATAAATGAGATTTGATTTAGAACTTGGTTTATTTGGTTTATTGGGATTATAGGATTTGATATATGTTTTAACTATGGCTTTATGTTATCTAATGGGATTACTAAAACTTATTGTTAGTTATAAAGTATTTGGATTGTGGGTTTTGGATTATGATTTTATGAGATTATGTTATGGGATTATCGTATTTTAATTTCATATATGAAGTATATGGATTGTATAAATATTTGGGTATTGATTTTTGGACTCTAATGTTGTCAGGATGTTTATGTTTATAGGTTTGGGTACCTTCGAATATTTGGAAATTCGATTTTGAGTGTATTTTATTTTATTAAATATATTAGTTTGTGAAAGTGGATTTTGGATCTTGGCGATGACATTCCATTATATGTACCACCCCCCCCCCCCCCCCCCCCCTCCCCCCCCGGGGGCGCGACACATTGATATGGAAAAGATGGATACTTGGATATGTCAAAACCCGGGCACCCTTGACGGGGTGTTACCATAGGCCATTGTCGGGTAGTCTATGTGCATACGACTTAGTTCAGCAGCACGAGTATTGAGGATTTTGTTGTGCGTGCCAATCCCCTAATTGGACGGCTCGTCCCTAGCCACATAGCTATTGAGGCTTCTTCCATGTGATCTAGTCAAGCAATTCCTAGGTTGGATTGCGTGTGTGTGTGCTGGTATATATGTGGATTACTTTCCAGTTTTTGAGATTTCTTAAGCATGTGCATTGAGACTACTCGACACAGGTGTTGAACACAAAAAAAATTACAAGACAAGGAAAGGGGCCCAGGATAAAAGCCCAGGACGTGAAGGTTGATCTTTAAGGCTGCTGATTGTTCCTTCTAGAAATTAGAAAGGGAATAAGGTCAGTTCTCAAAAGAAATATAAAATAAAACAAATAAAAAAATAAAAGGTAGGAAGAGATCGCGTTTATCCTTTGCAACCCCATTCAGCAGAGAGGCTGCCCACTTAGCAAACGTGCTTCCCCAACTGCTATTCATCTTTTGCCTATAAAAGACATGAACGTACAGAGGTAAAGGGGGGAAAAAGAGGGGAGAGGTGCTGCAGGAAAGGAGGAGAGAAAAGAAAAAAAGGGAGGAGGCCTGGAAGGCCACAAAGGCAGGAGATGCAGCCGTGAGGCTGGAGAAAAAAAAAAAGCTTCTGAAACGGAGCAAACCAAATGCTCCAAATCAATGAAACTGCCAGTTTCAATTCAAGAAGGTGAGCCTCTTCGGCTCAACACATTTATGTTTTTGCATCTTCAACAAAGCTCCTCTCTTGAAGTCTCCGTGCTTGAGAATGAAACCCACAAACCAAATTATATGGATTATCAATCCATCATAGGTGGCAACCTGCAAATCAAGCAAATGGATGGCAATCCATATTGGGTGGCAACCCACAAATTGATAATGCTCTGCCGAGCGAATCTCCATACTCTGCTGAGCAAATCTTCATGCTCTGCAGAGCGAACCGCCATGCTTGGGTACAAAACCCATTAACTAAATCCAGTTTGAGTGTCAAACTCATAAACTGAATTCTCTTGGAAGATCCTCTTGTCCTGTGGTTGTTAGGCACTCAGTCACAACAAACAAACAAAAAAATAAAGGAGGGCTACAGAAAGAAGAAGAACACAGCGGCAGACTGTTAAGAGATACCAAAAAAAAAAAGCCAACAAGGCTCGGGGAACATGGAGGATGCACGGCAGTGCTGAAGAAAAATGACAGAGGCAATCAAGGCTCCTCTCTTGAGGTCCTCCGTTTTTGGGTGGCAACCCTTTAATCAATCAAATGGATGGCAATCCATGTAGGGTGGCAACCCTAAAATTTCTTGGATGTTCAATCCGTCTTTGGGTAATAAACCCTGAAATCAAAAAAGTGGGTTTTGCACCCCGGAAACAAAGCGGGTATTTCACCCTGAAAGCAAATATGGGTTTTCACCCTCAAAACAAGTTTGGGTTTTTACACCCCAAACAAATCCTGGATACAAAATCCATCATAGGTGTGTAACCCTCAATCAAATACT